CACACACACACACACACACACACACACACACACACACACACAACCTTCATGTTTACTGGCATCGCTTAATTAAGCAAAAGAGAGCAAACACACTGTGGGAGACTCAGTAGTTTTCTCCATTTTATTTTGATTTCTGGAGAGAGTAGGATATGGAAGAATATTGTTCCTGTTTATATGTTTTTCTTTAAATCGTTTTGGGAAAAGTGAAAGGCATCAATGAAGAAACTCAAAAGGAAGCCACACATAGCACTAGATGTTAAAGCATACATAACAGGATGGAGCATGGTTGCACAAGGTGAAATAAGCCAGGCACGGAAAGTCAAGGCTGCATGATCTCATTTCTGTGTGGAGTCCAAGGGAGTCAAGAACTCAGAAGCAGGTAGAGTGGTGGTGAGTGCCAGGTGCCTGGACTGGATGGGGAGATGTTGGTCGAAGGAGACACCATTTCCGTTAGAAAGGGGGAATAGGTTCAAGAGATTCGTGCACAACATGCAACGAGAGTTAGTAACAGTAGTATTGTATACGTGAAGATTGCTAAAAGATTAGATCTCACCACAGAAAATAAAATGGTAAGTATGTGAGGTAATAGACAGTTCATTATTTTGATTCAGTTGCTCCCTAGTGTATGCACATATCCAAAGTTCATTGTACACCATAAATATATGCAATTATATTTGTAATTTAAAAAATGTAAAAATACACAAAAATAAATAGGCTTCCATAGGAAGATGGCATAGGTGATGTTTTATGAACAAAGCTATAAATAAGTAGTTTCAGGGGCTATCTATCTTCTTTCTCATTAGCTAAGCACAAATATTATTGAGGATTTTAAAGTGAATCGTTTCCAGTTCCTAATGAAAACCAAAAGCTGAGGTTGGTCTCAGACATGATGGTTTCAATGTTTGAGTCATTTAAAAATACAAGTTCTGAGGAAGACCTGCAAGTTTTCCTCAGGCCTATCCTCTTTGGTTTTTGTTTTCAGTTTTGTGTATATATAATTATGCTTAAGTGGAGGAAAATGTAGGATCTCAAATGTCTTGCATCATGTATCCAATGAATCAGAGCTGTGTCCTGTTCATAATCTGTCTTAATCTATCCCTTATAAATGGATAACTGTGATAGGATGGACAATGATGTTTTATAACATTGAGCAGAGGTGACAGAGAGTGCCATCCCAGGAAACTATAAAAGTCACAGAGTGCATTTTCTTACCTCCACCATTACTATGTATTTGCTACATCTTTCAATTTAGCGCTCACTAAGCGCTAGCATCATTCTAAAAACCAGCAGTATAATGGTGAATAAGACATAGAAACTCCAGCTGTCGTGAACATTATATTTCAATGGGAGAGTTAGATTATAAACAAATATTTGTCAACAGTAACATTTTGATCAGATAATTAAAGTAGGAACTGGGCGTTGTGGCTTGCATCAGTCATTACAATGCTTTGAGAGGTCAAGATAGAAGGATCACTTGAGGCTAGGAGTTTGAGACCAACTGGGGCAACACAGTGAGACTTCATCTCGACCAAAAAAAAAAAAAAAATAGCTGTGCCTGGTGGCATATGCCTATAGTCCCAGCTACTCAGGAGACCGAGGCAGGGAGATCACTTGAGCTCAGTGGTTTGCGGTTACAGTGAGCTATGATCTTACCAGTGCACTCCAACCTGGGTGAGACAGTGAGACACTGTCTCTAAAAATTAGTAATAGTCATAGGGTGCTGTGGTAGAGAGTTGCCAGGTGGTTACTTTAGGTTGGACATTGGAAACCTTCACTGAAATCTGAATGCCTGTCATATGTTTTGCGTAACAACAGAAAGATCCAATCATGTGAAGAGCGGACATAGCATTCTCTGCAGAAGAAGCATCCGTGAAACGGTGGGAGGAGGTGGATGTGGTTAAGAGACATCAAAGCTGGTCACTGCAGCCTGGGGACCCTGGGCAAGAGGGAGAGTGGTACAAGACAAAGCGGGGAATACGACGGAGGGCTGGGTCGTGCTGGGTTTTAGAAACCTGTTTAGAGCAGTAGACCTTCCTTTTGAATTGGAGGATTTTCAGCAGGGTAGTGACGTCTCATTTATGTTAAGCTGTTCCTTCTGTCTGTCATGTGAAGAATGGATGGTGGAAAGCAATCATGGACATGGTTGGATTCAGGGGTGCATCTCCCATTAGGAAGTCTTTTTAGGCCAGATTGAACATTCAGACTCAAAAAACATATCAGCGCCACTCTGCTCGGACGGATGCAAGTTAAGAAGCAGGCCAGCAGGGGAGCACCCCTCGTTGTTCTGTAGGAGCCCTTACCCCAGTTCACGCAGGGATTCCAAGGCCAGTCTCAGTGCGTGCCCCTCACCTCACGAGTAGGGGCTCAATTATAGAGAAACAGGGTCTGCGGCAGCAGGGCAATGGGTCAGAAGCCCTTGCCCCGGGTGGGCTCATCGTTGGTAATGAGTCCTCAGACAAGGCTTCCTCCATGCAAAAGATGTCCTCAGGCACAAGAGTCTTTGCATGCAGGGAAGCCCAGTGCTATGGCTTTCTTTAAGGCATTTGTAGTTCCCATGCAATTTTTCTCAGTACAGATGTATTTTACTATTTGGGTCGTTCTAACCATAATCTTAGTAACTAGACTGGCATTCCACCTAGGGGAATGTGATTTCTAGGCTAATAGAGCTAGAAAATTAACCTTTAGTCAAATTTGTCCTCAGAGAAGGGGAAAAGGAGGCTGGGCATGGTGACTCAAGTCTGTAATTCCAGCGCTTTGGGAGGCCAAGGTGGGAGGACTGCCTGAGCCCAGGAGTTTGAGATTAGCCTGGACAACATAGCGAGTCTCGTCTCCACCAACAATCAGAAAATTAGCCAGGCGTGGTGGCATGCACCTGTAGTCCCGATTACTCGGGAGGCTGAGGTTAAAGGATTGCCTGAGCCCAGGAGATTGAAGCTGTGGTGAGCTGTAGGATCATGCCATGGCCCTCCAGCCTGGGCTAACTGGTAAGACCCCAACTCAAAAAAAAAAGAGAAGGA